CGAGGTGCCTAAAGGAATGGGAGGGAATTGGGATGTGAACGTGGCAGATTTGGTAGCTCTAAGTGCAGCTGCTGGAAAACCTCGAATGAAATCCCGTGGCCTTTATCCTTACTTTCTTCTTGTCATTTGTCCTTGTGATTTGCCTCAAATATGAAACGGCAAGCAACCACTAATTGTTTTTGACTCTCTCTGTTCCTAATTTATCATCATTCTCGTCACAATCATCCACTTATCCACTCGTATTAAGAATTAAGAAGAAAAGATGAGAGCAGTAAGTGCGAGTCCACCAACAAATGCAAGTGCCAGTTTAAGGAACACCAATTTCAATTTCACACCTCTCCCTCTCTCAACCGTGAAGAACAACAACAACAAGAAGAAGAAGAGCACATTAGTCGTGGTGAGAGCCACCAAGGACAGCAAAGAGGGTGTGAATGAATATAACAAGGAAAACACAGCAAAGCAGCAGCAACCTCTGAGTTTGGAGGATGTGAACCCAGTTGGACTCGGAAGGAAGTCGAGGCAGATATTTGATGAAGTGTGGAGGAACTTCTCAGGTTTGGGGCAGATATCAAGAACAACACGTGCAGATGACAAGGAAGCTCTTGATGCATTGCTCATCAGAGAAGGTCCCATGTGCGAGTTCGCTATCCCTGGTGCCCAGAACACCACTGTTCTTGTTGTTGGTGCCACCAGTCGCATTGGCCGCATTGTTGTTAGGAAACTTATGCTCAGGGGTTACACTGTCAAGGTCTTTTTTCTCCTTTCTTTCTTTAATTCTTTAATTATCATTACTTTTGGGTTTAATATTCCTGATTCCTTTGATTCTTGGTGTATGAATTATTTAATATAGGCTCTGGTGAGGAAGGCAGATGAGGAAGTGTTGTACAAGCTTCCAAGGTCAGTGGAGATAATGATAGGGGATGTGGGTGATCCCTCAACCCTCATGGAAGCAGTGGAAGGCTGCAACAAAATTATATATTGTGCTACTGCTCGTTCTTCTATCACTGGAGATCTTTTCAGAGTTGATCACCAAGGGGTTTCTAACCTTACCAAAGCCCTTCAGGTAATGACTCAAATTCAACTGAATTGAAATTCCCTTGTCATGTCTATTATCAATTACACAAAACAAAATTGCAGGACTATAACAACAAACTCGCACAACTACGTGCTGGAAAAAGCAGCAAAAGCAAGCTCTTGCTCGCAAAGTTCAAATCTGCACATTCATTGAATGGCTGGGAAGTCCGTCAAGGAACTTACTTCCAGGATGCAGTTGCTTCAAAGTATGATGCAGGAATGGATGCTAAATTTGAGTTCACCGAGGCTGGAGAAGCAGTTTTTTCAGGTGAAATATGTTTTGACCTAGTTGAGAGACTGCATTTTTCCTTTACATGTTGTGAAGTGTTGTGTGCTTTCTTTAACTCTGTTATTCATGTTGCCTATAGGGTATGTTTTCACTAGGGGAGGCTATGTTGAAATTTCAAAAAAGCTATCACTTCCTCTGGGTTATACTCTTGACAGGTAGATGATACATAAATATTAATAGCCCCTTTTATCACTAGAAGCTTGCTTGATTTCCTGTTGACCTATTCTTTTGCATCCACCGTGAATGCTTGTCCCGCTCCTAAGATAAAATTTTCCTTGATGTTAGGTATGAAGGTCTAGTGCTCTGTGTTGGTGGAAATGGAAGATCTTATGTTTTAATACTCGAAGCTGGTCCTTCAGCTGATGCAACTCAATGCAAATTGTATTTTGCAAGAATTAGCACCAAAGTAGGATTTTGCAGGGTAAGCATCTCTCGTACCTTACTCAAGAAGCAATAGGTTTTTTAGTGCTATACAGACCCAGTTTCCATTTTCTTCTTTTAGCAGCTTCTGTTTTGTGTAAATGACAGGTAAGAGTGCCATTTTCTTCTTTCCGCCCAGTAAAACCAGATTATCCACCATTGGATCCATTTCTTGTACACACAATGACCCTTCGCTTTGAGCCCCGACGACAGGTTTGTCTATCAGTAGATTGTGAAACTACTAAAGAAATATCATGCTCTTTCATTTTAGAATGCAAAGTTAAATTAGTAGCATGAGATTTCTTCTTACATTTGCTTTAATTGGTTGTGGTTGTGAAATGATGGTTGTTTTATTTATTTTCCTTGGGCCTTGATCTCTTAATCCCAGGTTGGATTTTGATTGACTGAGCTGGGTGAGATGCCATTCATAATTATTAAGAATGCCCAAAGCCGGATAAAAAAATTGTTAAAGCAACCATGAAACAAGATTTCTTGGAACATCATGATGAACTAGCTATGACAGTTATGAGTAACAATTACACAGAAATCCCTCTTCCATTGAGGAGAATTCTTCATTTTTAAAATTCCTCTGGAAACATGCTGAAATACTTGACAGGTTCGAGAATTTACATTTTGGTTTTCACTACATAATTGGTTAAGAAGTTGCTTGAGAATTCAGTCTAAAAGCTTAAGCCATAGGCCAACAGATACACTCACATACTTCGTGCATGACTAGTTTGTGTTAACAATGTCATCTTTGCTAGTTATGGCTTCCTTTTCAAGTCCTATGACTTTGTTATATTTCCTTCACGGAATTGTTTATTAGTATGACTCTGTGAGCATTGTTATCACTATGACCTGGTTTTACCATTACAATAGTTTTTTTATAGTGAATGTTCTAGTTCTTCTTCTTGTTTTTTTTTGCAAGAATTGGAACATTGCTATTAGATTTTCTATTTCTTGCATGGATTGAAAAATTGGGTTTTCCAGAAAAGATGCTGTCTAAAGGATTTTTTATGGTGTGGTTTACAAGTGAGCACCTTGTGGAGTTGCATTTTTTGTTTTTGTCCAGCTATGCTGATTCTATTCAATGCGCAGAGACCTGTTGAAGGACCTGCAGGAGTGAAGCAAGACCTGAGAAGCTTTAAGCTTATATTGGAGTATATAAAAGCATTGCCTGTAAGTGCAGCTGTCTGCTGCTCAAAAAACATGTAGATAATCTTTTCTGTTCTAAGAGATATACATGGGGAGTAAAGTTTTTCCCTATCTATTAATACTATTATAAACGTTGTGCAGACTGGGCAAGAAGCAGACTTCATCTTAGTTTCATGTACAGGATTAGGTGTAGAACCCACAAGAAGGGAGCAAGTTCTGAAGGCCAAGAGGGTTAGCACTATTTTCTGATCTTGTTCTTTCTGTTTCTTTTCTTGCCCAGTCACGTTTGTGATCAAACATTTCCAGGCCGGGGAAGACTCACTGAGGAGATCAGGACTTGGATACACAATCATTCGCCCTGGTCCCCTAAAGGTAAATCTAACATTCATTTGCCACTGCGTGAGGGAAAGAGGAAGAAAAATAAAAAGACAGACAGTGGATGATTGACTGCTTTTGAAATCACTAGTACCGGCATTGCTGATATACGTTTTCTTGGTAGCTTAATGTTGATATCCTACAACGTCGTAACTCAATATCAAAATACCTAGTGGTACTTTGACATATTGCCTAAAGTTTTCCTAAAGAAATCTCAGTGGACAATTACTGGTAGTTATCGAAGCAAAATTTATAATGAATAGTTATTCAAGTTGCTTTATCTTTAGCAAATCAGATGTTTGAACCGTCCTAGCCCAGCCTCAACATGGACAAACATAATGAAAGGTTACTTTTCGTAGGAGGAGCCAGGTGGTCAACGTGCACTCATATTTGATCAAGGAAACAGGATTTCTCAAGTGAGAATTAATTACCCTTCTGCATAAAAGAGTACATTATTGAACTTAAAGGCCCATTTGTGTACGCAGCCAACCACGTTTCAATCTTCGGCTGGCCTCAAAAAGCACACAAAAGTATGTTTTTTGCAGCCAATGGCAGTTTGAAACGCGGTTGGGCACATAGACAATTTAAGACCCTAATAAGTTTCCCTGGATTAGGGAATTAGCTGTGTTGACGTGGCTGATATCTGCGTGAAGGCATTGCATGATTCGACTGCAAGAAACAAGAGCTTTGATGTGGGTAACATTCAATTTAGGTTTGATATTTGCTAAAGTGAGATGGAATACTGAATTCTGATTGTGCAGGTCTGTTATGAATACGTCTCTGAACAAGGGAGGGAGCTCTATGAACTTGTACGGAACATACAACTATAAATCATAATAGCTTTTAATGCCAGAAAATAAAACTATCACACACACACACACACGTGTACTTTTTTTTTCCTCGGAGAGAATATAACGATAACATGTGTATTTCTTGTGCAGGTGGCACATTTACCTGACAAAGCAAACAACTATTTGACACCAGCACTGTCTGTTTTGGAGAAGAACACTTGATTGAATATGCTCCATCCAAGGAAATACCATACCAGTTCCATACTTGCTCCCAGTCTTGAGGATTTTTTTTCTTGTCCCACATCTGTTTACTTGTAATAAAAACATATCCATTTCTGTTACCTTCGCTATGATTCGTGACTGACTGCCATAACAGTTCTTACTGTGTATTCGTGTATAGATCCGGCAGATATAGTAAAATGTATATTTCAGGGCTAAATGATGTGCAAGCTGATGATCGTGATTGATAAAGCAATGCAAAAACATTGATGGTTCATCTGATGGTTAGGGTAGATAATGCACAAAATAAATATCCCGACTTCTCAGATTTTGTGAAAGCAAACTTGTTCAAGAAATAGTTTGCCGACCAGGTAGGGGAAGGGTCGGTTAACTAGACAGGTAAGCTCGGCTTGTTTCTGTGCACTACAAAACTTAAACCAGCCGGTAAACCCTAGTGAAATGGAACAGGAACATGTTATATATTCTGCAGCCATATGGGGTTTGCTCAAGTCAGTCTTGCTTTACATGACTTTTAACTTACAAGACACAAAATAGACAAAGTGGAATTAATGGCAGGGGGATCAGTGCCATTTCCAGGCCACAGAAATCTCGACAGGTGGATCCGACGGGGGCACAGGATTAGTGTTGAGAAAGCACTCCACGTAGCCAACACTATCTTATTTTGTAATTGTAAGTTGTGGATAAGGAAAATTGAGACGGCTTGGCTTAGAAGTGGATGGTCTCATCAAAATTGACTGTATGCGTATGTGCATCAAGATCAGAAGGGTAGCTAGTTAGCATAATGCTAATTTATGCCCCAAGTCCAGTGGTTTTTAATACAACAAGCACATCATCCTATATTCTTGCCGGAGCTGTCAAAAGCAGTAGCAATATCAACAAGAGCACAGGCTATCTCACCAGAGGTAGCAGCAGGTTCAGCATGACCATTACGAGCTTGTTTGCTGCTTGCGCAGTTTTAGCCTCAGCAGCTACAGGAGCAAGTGCTGAGGCACCCCAGCAACAACAACAAGCAGAGACAGAGACTCTATCAAACATACCACAAACACTGTCAGGTGGGGAGTGTGCATCAGTATCTCCTAAGGATTGCAAGAAGGCTAGGATCCAACGGCCCAAGTCAAGGAAAGCAGAGTCATGCACTATCAAGTGTGTCGCCACTTGTATCCGGGGCGGTGAAGGCTCCCCTGGAGAAGGCCCTCTCAATGTTAGAAGGTTTGTTCTACTCGGTTTTCGATTACTGCAAAGCATTTACCTACTTACTGCTTGACATTTTAGGTTAAAATAGTTTCAATCTTTTGCAGGCCTATAGTGGTTTTCAAGCAAGGATTCCGAAGTCGTAATTACTGGTAAATGCTGAACATAACAATGAATATTTTAATTTGTTCTTGTTTAACCTCTAAACAGTAATAAAATCCACATTTAGGGTTTTATTGAATTGATTAAAATTAACTTTTGATTTTGCATTCTTTCAAGTAGTAGCATTTTATGTGCCTTCCCTGTTGTGCAGTTTGGTGGAGTGCTCAGATATTTGTAATTTGATCGGAGATGCAGATGATGGACCTTAATCTGTAAATTCCTTTCTTTCAATATGAAATACACTCAAGTCTTCTTCTTTTTCTTTCAATATACCGAGGTAGAGCTAGGAGCTTATGTTCATGTTTCATATTTATGTTCATTCAAGCTCTCTATCTCAATTTCAACAAAAGATGTTTAGGGTAATCTAGATGTATCATCTTCCTTAATATCTAGGAAGATTTCTTGAGTTTGAATGACATAATAACAGTTTTTCTTGAAGATATTGCAAATGACATAATAATTTAGGAACTAGCGAAAATCAATATGAAAATTGGAAGTGGAATCACCTATTCATTTTCAATCCGGCTGAGTTAAGGGAAGAAGTGTTTGGCATGCAGGTCAACCAAGCAGCTCATAGCCTCACCACAACCTGTATATAAGAGGTAGAAGACATTGAGTCTATCAGAGTCCTTATTAAAGACTTCAAATTTCTAAAAAATTGTCAATCTTTTTGGTTTTTGTCGCACTTGGTGCGAGGCATAATGGAATGTTAGTATCAATTATTTGGTTTATTATCATTAGAAGTACTGTGTGAATTGGTTTCATATGAAATTTTATGAAATTTTATGGTAAAAAACTAGTTAGTTGAAGTTAAGAAAGGTATTAGTATCTTTATTATATCCTATTTAAAATAAGCTAGATTGTATAATGTATATATAATTTAAGTACGTTGATGGATTCCTAATTAATAGTCTTTCTATAATTCAAAATAAGAATTTATTCTCATAAATAAATATAATATTTTCAATTTATTATGAATTGGTATATCAAAATAAATTCTTATAGGAAAAATCTGCATAGATGTCCTGACAGAGTTTATTTATCTTGAAAAGCAAATGAGTTTTTCATAACTCATATATTATAGTAAAAAATACTCCTAATTAAAATTGATAAATACTCAAAATAATTCTAAAAATTTTCTAGTCAATTTCTAATATTTAAATGCCAGCCTATTTGTATGTCTAATATGTATACTAGAATATTGATCATTAATTTTCAATAATTAATTTTTTTAGTGTTATTGAAATATTGACCAAATTCTTAAGGAATTTTCAAACTTGTTGTAAATTCCACAAAAAAATACAAAGAAATATATTTAAAAAAAAACTAATTTTTTTTCTTTTTTATAAATAAAATGCAATTTTTGTGAGAAGTGAGCTATCTGCGACAAGCATAATTTATTTTTTTGTTATATACAACTAAAACATTGGATTAATTTTTTATTTTTTATTTTTTTATAAACAATTATTCAACACAAAACAAAATAAAATGCAAACTCATACACACCTTTTTTTCTTTCATTAATTACCCACACATCCAAAAATTACACATGTTTACAAACCACCAAGAATTCAAATTCTAACAATAATTTAAAAACACAGTAAAAATTCAAAAATTAGCAAAATGGTCCTCCCAAAGGTTGGAAGAAAATTGGAGATATTGCTAGAAACATAAGAAGCATACTGGAAGATTTTGGGATAGTCAGAACAATGGTAACGTGTGAGTCTCACACGCCACCGCCACTAGTGGTGCATACAGGTGATGCGTCAACATCTTGGGAAGAGCGTGATGGCATGGATTAGACAACTCTTCCTCTCCTTTTCATTCCTATGCTGACAGTGTAACAAAAGAAAACCTGTGAAAGCAAAAAACAAACACAACCAACTTTAGTTTTTTTTTCTCTTTTTTAGATTTGTTTATCTCTAACTATTTTTTCTTCAAATGATCATTGTCGTTGCTACCACAAGTGGAGCATTGTGTGTGGAGAGGGCCAATTTGATAATTGTTGACGAGTCATTGGTTCATAGTTGAAAAGAGACGAAAAGCCATTAGTGATGATATTCATAGTGGCGATGCTGTTAGAGCTAGTATTGTCAAATTTATTATTGGTGGAGGTTGCTATGATTATCAGAGTTGATGCTTATTGGTGGAGCAATGTTGTTGATGGTGATGATGGGTCGATTTATTGTGGGTTTAGATGGATAAATAAGAGGAGAAAACCATAAGTTAGAGGTTTGCCTAATGGGGGCTACTCATAATGGTTTTGAGCTGTGGTGAAGAGGATAAAGGGCTATTAGTAGCTCACAATGAAGGTTAGCAGTCATAGGTTCCTGAAGGAGATAGTGGAGGAGACATCGATTTTATGTGTCTATTATTGTTGAGCTTTTTTTTGCTGCTACTTCTCCACTAGTTATTGCTGTGAGGAGAAAAAAATGAGGGTCATAGACTGAAGTTATTGGTGTTGGCTTTGAGGTTGGATCATTGTTGTTTTTGGTTTGAGAGAGGAAGGAAACAAGTCTATGAATGCATAGTTTTTTTTTTGTGTAACTTGCGACCACGTTGATGCATAATAGGGCTCGAGTTTGTTTTTTGTTATATGTGGGGATTTAGAGAGTGTGAGTTGGAGAGAGTTCTTTTTTGATATTTTTTTGTTTGTTTTTTTTATCCTCTCTCCTAAACATTTTTTTTTTGTGTGTATGTTTAATCATCTATTTATAGATAAGGTTTTTTTTTTGTCTTCTTCCCCTCAATTGCTTGGTCCTTAAGCAATCTAGATTTTTTTTAGTCTCTCATTTTCTTCCTTTTCACTTCTAATCCCTTTACTCGTTTATTATATTTTTATTTTTTCTTATGTTTTGTATTTTTTTTTAAAGAGCAACATCAACGTTAACTTAAATAGATTTTTTTAATTTTAAATTCTTTGAAAAAAACACTGAAAATGATGCAAATATGTTAGAACAAGTTTTTTTAGGTTTTTATTGTTTTTTTTCTGTTTGTTGGTTTTTTTCAAAAATAAAAAAATAGTTAAAAATTAGATAGCAATAATTTTGATGAGGAAACCAACCAAACAATAACAACCATTGGGAAAGTGCATTGCTGCTGCCTCCAATCTAATGGAGAAAATGGCAAGAAACCTAAAAAATGACATCTTTTTAATTGATGTTGATTATTGTATGGAGAAGAATGACCATAATCATCCATTTTATATGGAGAGCAATGTGAATAATTCTTTTTGATGAGTCATAATATTTGGTTAAGATTTTTATAAATAGAAAATATCTTAAAAAAATAAAATGAGTCTAGTATAACTGACAACTAAGTTCAAGGTAGCCAAAGTCTGGCAAATAAACTATCCAAAAGCAAATAAGCTCCGACATATTTGGACAACTTGTGTGATGATTAGTATGTAAAGGTATATTTTTATCAAGGTTTTATATCATTATTTTGCACTTGAAGTATTAATAACTCCTTAACTAAAACATGTTTTATAATAACATATATAATAATATAAGATAACTTTAATTTATAGTAAATGTTCATCTTAAATACAAGCCTATCATATAAATAAAAGAATTAATTGATGAGTTTAAGAACTGAAATTGAAAGGACAAAGAGATGGCCAAACTTAGAAAAGAGATGTTGGTGTAGTCCAAACAGTAACACTGTTCAGATCCAAACTAGAACACTGTTCAATAATTGGGTGATATTTGAAGCTATAGATCTCAGATTTAGATCTATTTTATATGGATGGAAAGATAATACATAGGCTTATAACTTTCATGGGAGCCCAAGATTTAAAAAGACTATTTTTAAGTCCAAATTGTAGCAACAACGAAAAAGTCCGAATCTGTCCTGCATTCCGAACATTGTTCAGTGTTTAGCCCATATCTGGAGTTTTAGAAGTCCAAATGACCTTAATTTTTTCTGGAAAGCTGAGAAAATTTTCTAGAATTTTTATGTTTCAAATGGTTCTAATTCTAACGTTATTAATGACATTCTAGGTAGACAAGAGAAGATAAAGATTATCACTAATTTAAGAGTTGACCACCAACTCATCAACTAATCATCAAATCAAGAGTTCTCAATTTTGACCTATAAAAGAAGGCATTTGCCATGCATTTATACATCTTGATTTCTAGATCAAGATCATGCTCTTACTTTCTCTCTTT